CTTGACAATCGTACCGGAATCTCCAATGCGAACATTTCAGAATGTTTCGGTGTCAATCTGAGGACAGTGCAGAAGACTCGGAAGGAGTTGGATGAGTTTAATAGTGGTTACGAAAGTCTTTGAAGTGATCACTAGAAATCTTCCCAAAAATTCATCACAGAGGCCTACATCAAATGCTTAGAGGAGGTAGTATTGCTCTGGGTCGATAATGTCGCTTCTGGAAGAACAGGACTCTGCATCATGCGAAACAAGCAACACAACCCCGTCATAGACAACTTCTGCGATCATCCCTTAAATCTGGCTACCGAATTCTCCAGACTCCAATCGCCTTGATTATTATGTGTGGGTCGCAGTTCAGCGAGAGATCAAAATTAAAATACTAATAATTTATTTATTAACGATAATTTTGACAAGAAATGGGGATGAGTAGAGGGCGTAGAGCACGAGATTTTTTTTTTTATAAAATTCCATGTGGGTACCAGATTTCGCTCCCAGCTTATCGGGAATCGCGGAATCGTTATCCCCAGGAACTCTTGTGGCATGGAAGACTTAACTTCTTCTACTTCCCATTCAAGTTCTTTAAAGTCATGGTTTTGTATAGTAGATTTTCTCTTTTAACCAACCCTAAATAAATAAACTTCGCAAGGTGTTAACCCAGGGTTCCTGGCTGGAAACTCATACATAAAATAAGATACTTTTCAATCATTCTGTATATATATATATATATATATATATATATATATATATATATATAGATAGATAGATAGATAGATAGATAGATAGATATGTATTTGTACGTAAACTGGTTGCACCGTACATTAATTTTATTGATAAATATGCGCGTGGCTGATATAATCTGATGAAACAATCTACTTAGTATTGTGATCGATTCTTTCCAAATATTATATGTTGTTTTTGTTAATGATGAAGTTAAATCCAAGATCATTCAAAACATATCAGTCCTTAACAAAACTACTGCCATAAAAATTATGGCATATTGAAAAGCAACAGAGATAAAAACAAAAAACAGAGCAAAAGAAAACTAAATTCGGTTGGGTGGTTTTTGCATCTAGATGTATCAGAGCCATGAAAATTTAAATTTAAATTAAAAGTTAAACATCCGTGTATCTTTAATCTTTATTGATGAAAATTATTAACCGTTGCTTGTGCATTTCCTTCCACCTCACTTGGATATATATATATATATATATATATATATATATATATATATATATATATATATATAGATAGATAGATAGATAGATAGATAGTGATATATATTGATATATATATATATGTAGAAATATAGTTTTTTAGGTGTGCTATATTTATGGATAAAGTACTCAATATCAGAGATATAAAAATGAATATGGAAGTCAACGCAGTGGCGACAGGCTGTTTCATGTTAGATACAATGTTGCCTTCAATGTTCCTATATATATATATATATATATATATATATATATATATATATATATATATATATAAAATAAATGCGAATGTTCAATGTTTCACACTTTCTCAATTTTACTCTTCGAGACCAACATATCATATGATTTGGGAATCAAGCCGACTCCGTGAACAAATTAAAAACATTCCAGTCTGGATCTAAACCCCTCAATCCTGAAATTGTGGATTCCCAATTTTCAGAACTGCGATTGTTTTCGGTGATTTTTGGACGTGATTTTTTGCGACGAATTTTTTTATACGATAATTATTTTATAACTTGCAATTAAATTTGGGAATAATCAAAATTAACTGCGAAATCCAGTGAAAGTCATACATGAAATAAATATGTTTGTAGGGAAAGTAAGGAGCTCGGTACATCAAATTCTCTTTAAATTACGTGTCGAAAGAATAACTATCTTTTTGAAAGGTAAGCTTAAATATCAATATATTAATACAATACTTAAATACAGCGATCAATTTTGAGTTTTTCTGCAGTTTATTGTTGCCTATCACATATTCATCTCCCTACCTACTGCGATGAAGGCCAAATGAAGAGCCCTCCGTAGAAGCTAGCTAATAAGGTAGTGTAAGCATATATATAATCTGAAGAAGTCCATTCAGATACAAAATTGTAACATCGGATTTCCCATTTTCTTATTCCATTACCCGCACACTTCCATACATACACACATACATACTAATACACAGAAACACACCCATACACACACAAACACACGCACATACAAAATCACACACTCACATATACACACACACGCACGCACATACACATATATATGCTTATCTATCTATCAATCTCTCTCTCTCTCTCTCTCTCTCTATATATATATATATATATATATATATATATATATATATAGATAGATAGATAGATAGATAGATAGATAGATAGATATAGATATATATATATATATAGATATATATGTTGCTTATCAAGTAATGCTAGCATAGCGGTCTCAATTTACCGGCTTGTCTGTCTCTTACTTGTCGGATTCTTTCTAGTCCAGTGCCCAGATAAAATATGGGATGATAAGTCCTTCTCAGTATGCCTAATATTCGAAAGTGTGGTCCGATGTGTCTAAAAGAATTCAATGTTAAAAACATGAGGAAAATAAAATAAAAAAAAACAACCGACGAAGCATAGCTGATAAATAAACGAAAGTAAGAAATGATGGAAGAGAAACTAACAAGGGAAAAACGTCAAGGAAACAGCAACAACAACAAAACAAAAAAATGAAATCAAAAAATGGACCGGGAAGAGAAAAGTAGAGTAACCAATTATCTCCCTTGTTTTAGAACCTTCAAAATTTATTAAATTTTCTCATTTTTACGTTTCGAAAAATCAATTTAATGTCCAAAAAAAAAAAACAGCGGGAAAAATGAATACAGAATCAGTTAGAATGCTGAATATTCCGATATGCGTCGAATTGTGCATTCCATCTCTGGATGATATTTGGTTGGTTAATCTTTTCCTTGGTCAACCGTTAATTGCTCTTAGCAAGCAACCATTTTCTTTATATAGATTTATTTATTCATAGCAGCATAATTATGTAACTGTATATTGTTTAGGATATTGTAGTTTTCCTTTGACTTCATTTTTTATTATAGAAAATAATTCAGTTTGTACTGAATACCTCGTTACGCATCGAGAAATAGGTCCATCGCCAACTTTGAACTCATCCTTACATATTTCTTTTAAATACAATATCTTTTCAGGACAGAGGCAAAACATAGACCCTACAGTGACACTGTTTTTTTATTATCTGCGTATAGATAAAGGAGTGATCTTCTACTGACTTCCGAAGAGACATATAAATTACTACCCTAAAAAAGAACTATAGAGTATTATCTACATTTCTATTTAACACTTAGCTGGGATGAAAATAATGTTCCGTGCATTTTCCAAGGGTCTAATGCGAAATGAATGCAAAAGTGATGTTGAGAATTTGAAGCCTACTCCCCGTTTCCATCTTTGGTATCGATAACCGTTGCACTACACATTTGATACACTAACACTCTCATATTTATTGCTATGTTCACGAGGTTTAGGTCGGTGTACACCTCAGTCTTATTCAGGATTTGTCTATATTTTTGAGATGAGTTATTGTAACTATTTATACTATTTACATCATTCGGACTGTTGTCCTCATATTTAATGTCACATTCACGACGATTCGGACGTTGTATGCTCCGAAACCCGACCGTAGTGTATCTTGGAATTTCGAATCTATCACTTTATCTGGTCTCTTTATCTCATTCCACATGCCGTGCCTTTTTGGATATCTCAATATTGGTTATTTCTCATTAGTAAGTCAATTCCCCAAGTGTGTGTGTGGCCAGGTATTGAACTCACTTAGATCACGAGACATGTTCACTACAAATAAATACTTTCTCATAATATGATTCCCATCAGGCAATGCCACTATGTCAAGACCTAGATGCCTTGAACTGGCAATCGAAATTTTGACCTTAACATGGAATAGAAATATTTGGGAATAAAACAAAAATCCTCAGACAAAAGAAAGTTTTAATTTTCTAGTTGAAATGAAGATCTGAAGATTCTGTTGCACTAAATTTTCGAAAGCAGAAACTTTTCCTAATCAGCATTTAAAACATTGGATTCTATCTGGGTTCGACATCGATATTTTGTAAATACGCAATGAAATCAATCAAATGGCAATTATATATACATTACTTAAAGCGCTCAACTTAGCCAATCATACGATTAGTCGGCAAGGGTACTCGTGATAGTGTAATGGCCAGCAAGCTTGTTTTGCTAAATCAATTACTACTGAATAGTGGGTTCTATCCTCACGGAGTGCTCCATACTTAAGGTCTTGTGCCACATGTAAGCTTACACTTAGAAAATCAAAAAGCAAGATATGGACGACTGACAAGTAAGTTCATATGGTGTACGTTGTTCCCTGAAGACCACTCAATTAGGTATTCAAGCTTCAAAATGCACAACTTCAGTGATTGGACGAGGATCTTGTGTCTTTAGCGAGATTGCCCATAACGGTCCTGTCATTTAGAATTCAGTGAGTCAGTTAAGAGAGTCGTTGGTCGACGAGCCACATCCAAAGATCTTTAGAAAATAGCTTTGAGGAGGATAGAAGAAAATGATATGAACAGATGGAAATAAAAGAGAGGTATGTGGAATTGGGTAAAAATAGAGAAACAGTTAGAGACGGTATAAATGGAGGGGGGAGGAGGATGGGGAGGAGAGTAGGCGGAGAAGTGTGGAGAAAGGAAAATAATATTTTTGAGAGCTTCCCCGTAAAGGAGATAAAATAATAGACAAACAAATGGAGGAGAGGAAGAAAAGGCAAAGGAGAAAATGAGGAATGCGTATTTATTGATCTGTTGATGTAGAAATCAAAAGCCTCCAAGAATTTTGCTGAGTCATCATGCCAGCCTTTATGGAAGGGAAGTTCGGAATTGATGTTTCTTTCTTTTTTTTTTTTACATTCGCCAAAAATTCACTTCACTTGTTAAAACTCAGGTTAAGAATCAAACATTCAAATTTCTGTCAGTCTATCTGCAAGGAAAACTTTTATAGTTCCGAACGTTTTTTATCTATCTATCTATCTATCTATCTATCTATCTATCTATCTATCTATCTATGTTCACGTGTATGTTTATGTATGTATGTATGTATGTATGTATGTATGCATCTCTCTCTTACTATCTCATTTTCTTCATATCTATCTATCTATCTATCTATCTATCTATCTATCTCTGTTCACATGTATGATTATGTATGTATGTATTTCTCTCATTCTACCTAATTTTCTTCATATGTAAGTATGTATATATCTATCTATCTATGTTCACATGTATCTCTCTCACTCTCTATCTCATTTTCTTCATATCTATCTATCTATTTATCTTTGTTCACATGTATGTTTATGTATGTACGTATGCATGCATCTTTCTATCTCATATTCTTCATACCTATCTATCTATCTATCTATCTATCTATCTATCTATTCTTAATTTCCATTTTCCTAGATCTCTCTCTCTCTCTCTCTCTCTTTCTCTCCCTCTGTATCATTATGAAGGCGACGCTTATTCGAGCCCCTACAGAACTTATCTTGAAAGTTATCGATCTTGGATCCGCTGCTTCCGGAGTGTCGTACAGATATGATTTGGCTCCCGACTGAACTTAAATTCAATCATTTTACCATATAAAAAATATCATGTTTACGCATTAATTGAACGAAACGATTTACGAGCAAATTCCAACTAAACGTCACATGAAATTAAGAAAATTTAAGCAAGTAAAAAGCCAGGAGAAAAAAATCTATATAAAGTTCTGTTAATATGAGGGTGGCGTAATGATTATCGATGCAGCAAATGAAACTTGCTGGTCGAATTCGAATTCCGGCCGTGTCTCCTGCGTTCTCTTTACACGAATACCCTTGGGTAAGTCATGAATATGATCTCTTCTCTTCACTCTAAACTGTGAATAAAATAACATAATAGACTGAATTCAAACGCCTGACAAGACATGTACCATCGTTTCTGTGTAAGTCCTATTACATTCCAACTCTGAAAGAACTTACGAATGTCTGTTTCTTGCTGGAGAATGGAAATAAATAATTAAAATAAAATATATATTACATATATTATAGAAATTCATATTGTTAAGTATGAGGGAAATGTAGCACTATAGTTACTAGTATAAAAAATGTAAACAGCGAAATGGGTTCGAATTTTGACCACAGCATTTTATATTCCTCTTTGCGCTAATGCAATCGGAGATATTACTTGTACTTACATTTTATTCTGTCCTCAGACTCCTTGAAAAATAATGCGTCACTGATATGACACTGATAATTGAAAGAGAAGAGAGGGTGGTGTCAGCAACTTACATCAACTCTTTCCCACATCTCCCTCATCAGACAAGAAAGTAGATAAAGAGGGTATTTCTGTCGTCAAATTTGATGATGACATTTAATTTGGTTTTTTCCTTCTTTCTATTTAAATGATAGTCTCTTTTCTAAAATATTAATTTCCAAATTATGCTTTTTTGATATTTTTGCCTCCCAAAATTCATTATTTAGAAGTAAACAAATAGATTGGAGTTATACTATATATATATATATATATATATATATATATATATATATATATATTGTTTTCATTTTTTCATTCCAAAGTCAGGCAATAAATTTGCTAGGAGTATTACTGAGTGTTAGAGAATATAAGAAAATCTATTATGAAGAAAAGGGGACAATAAAAAAACAAGAATTAAGAAGACAGAAAATAGCGATTGATATTTCATTCAATCATTTTATGATTTTGATGTTGAAAGCAAAACTTCTGCTTATTTTTTTTTTATTTCAACCATTTAATCAAGTAAGGCGATAATGTTACTAAGGCGAAAAGAGTTACTGTGAGTGAAAGAGAATGAGAAGACTTTAGAAGGAACCGGAAAGCCAATCTTAATCAGCAAACAAGGAATGAACCTTCACTCCTGTTCATAAAACGGAGAAGGATTGTTGATATTTGTTATTGTGTCTATGAGTCAAAGTGTGGCACCATTTACGAGGCAGAGAAAGGAAGAGAAAGAAAAGAAGGCAGAAAGAAATGCGAGACGAATCATAGGTGATAAGCAGACACACACACGGCTAAGAGACAATGAAAATATTGATAAGTAACAAATGAAAAAGGGTGTCATTACAATGACAGGGAAATTCTGAGTAAAAAAAAAAAGGGAAAGAAAGAAGGAATCAGATGTGTTTTGATAACGGCTGTGTTATCTAGGGATATGGTAAAGGCAAACGAACTACAACCACTGGCCAAAAAAAATTCAAATGAAAATGCTATTTCGATAAGTGACGAAAAACAGGCCACTAAAAAGGACTTTGGACAGATATGAAAAATTAAATCCCACACAAGCAGTGTCCGCTGACCGAATTTTTTTCGACGAAACAACTTTGGCCTGCGATAATAAAATTATGTTATCAGAAATATGTACCGAAGGAAAATGAATGGGAACCAGAAGTGTTTTTTTTCTTCCTTGGAGGCGACAGACTGACTGAAAACTTTGGGGATATTTCTTTTTTTTGAAGCCATGTTAAGAATACCACCCATCTTGATGAATTAGCGATAAAATACCTGACAAACACCACGTGTAAAACAAGAGTTGTCATATTGTTTGTCGTGGCTAGAGAAATGATAACGGCGATTTAAAGGAAGAAAAAGGAAAAGAAGAGATATAATTTTTTTTAGTTAAGCAAGATATTTTTTTTCCCTGAAACAAAGCCACGGATTGTTCACGCCCGACTAAGACATCATTGGTCAAGTGGTGATCACGTGACGCACGAAGGAGGAGGAAAGATACCCGACCAAGACCTCATTGGCCGAGAGGTGATCACGTGACGCACGAAGAAGGCTGTCGACGCCCCATCCAGAGTATAAGTATGAGAAGCTGCTACGAAGAAGTGGGGAGGGCAGTTCACGCCCCTCAGAGGTATGGTGAGAAAGTGGGAGTGAGGAAGGGTTCCCAAAAATGGAAAAAGAGTGGAAAATCCCTAACCAGAAATAAAAAAGAGGTGGATATGTATTTAGAATTATCGAGGAACCCCCGACGCCAACAGAACCACCCCGGTTTTGGTCGGCGTCCATAAAAAAGCGAAGCCCCAACAGGCAGAAATCAGTTCGAGTTGGCAGTTCAGTTGAGTTTCCAGAGTTTTCCAGAGTTGAGTTCCCAGAGTCAGTCTCCAGTTGAAACCGCCTCGCAGATAGCTGACCAAGATTCACGCAAATTCCGGACTCCTCTTCAACCCAAAAACAATTATTTTGAAGAGCGACTTAGTACCAGACCACCGAAATAAGTTTTTTTTTCGACTTTCGTCCAAAGACACACCGAAACACCAATTTCTTAGAGAGCAAACAACTTGAAGCGTTAAAACTGCCTAGCGGAAACGACGTGTCACAATCCACAGAACGGGTCGGGAGATAGATGCAGTCCTATGTATCGAACAACTAGACATAAAGTTTGTTACCTTTTTTTTTGATACTTTGAACTTTTTGAGTTTTCATTTTATTTTCTTTTTTGCATATTTGTGTAGTATCACCCCGTTGAACTCAGTTTGCATTACGGCCCCAACCACTGTTTGATCTCGTCTGTCTAAGATCAATTCACAACGTGGGTAGGCAGACTGGAGATCAATGCAGTTACCTTGGTAACCAGGCGTTGGAAGCGAGTTGGGAACGACGAGGCTGATATCAAATCTAACCAGATTCCCACCCGAATCACCAAAAGGTTAGAACGTCACATTTGGGTGCCGCGACCGATACCAAGCCAGTTGGTCGTCACAGGACGAGACAACACGACTGACGCGACAGGCGGACGTCACGTTTGGAGCAGCGACACCCGAACGGAGCAGCGAGGAGCGAACAGCTGGCGCCGCGGCGAGGACGTCACGTCTTGGTGCTGTTTTGGGGACGTCACAACTGGCGCCGTGGTAGATCAGGATAGAACGTCACAGTTGGCGCTGCGACCGGGGGACGACGTCACAAGTGGTGCCGTGACCAGGATATGACCCTGGAACAGCCACGTCACAAAAGACTGACAACAAACATCTTTTCGAATTTAATTTCTTTTTGAATTTTGACCATCCAACGTCGCAAGTATTTCTTCGTGGACACATTAAGTACAAAATATTACAAAAAAAAAAAAGAAGAAAAAAGAAAGAAGAATAATGTGTACGTCATCATAATTCATTATTCTTTTTATATAATGATCTTTGTCTATACCGCATATCCATTCTGGATGTAGATAATCTTTATCTATTTCCTCTTCCTTGTGATACAAACCAACGTTTCTCTATTCATCACACATCCTGCTTCCTGCTCTACCCATCCATTTATAAATTAAGCTACAGTTTCCATCCGCCTTTACTATTTTCACTGTGCCCCGTCATTGTTTCAGTTATTGAACTCTCCTGTAATTCCATTGTGCTCTCAAATCTAGGCAAATATCTTCGAGTTTTAGTAAATAGTCGCCTATCGTAAAATATCCAGATTCCTACGCCTAATATCAAATGTAGGATGAAAAGAATCCGGTGCACAATTAATATAAACATCACCCAAAGTCAGAACCGAAAAGAAACGTTGTCAATAAAATCATTCAATATGGCAAACACAAAATTACTGTATAATCTGATTTTTTTTATATCCAATGAATGATTTAAAATTTATTTATCCAATTTCATTCTAAAAACGCGAAAAATGAACGAATCAGATCTTTGCCATTTATGTACCGAGTCCCTTCAGGATCATGGCTTTCCCCAACTTCCTGCGCCTTGTAGCTCTTAATAAACTGTGTCTTTCTGTTATTTCTCCTAAGCCCTGTTCCGCTATCCATTTACTGAAGCTCATTATGTCATGCGTTCTTGTTTTGCCCTCTATCTCTCCTGTGAGTATCATATTTTCTAAGCTTCCTTTACCTATTGTATAGCCTAGAAAACTTAAATGTCTCTTATTGGTGTTAACTGTTACTTTCCCTTTTGTTTCAATTTTCTCCAAACCTCATCGTTACTGCCCACAGTATCCTCAGCATCTTTCGGGAGAACCACATTTCTGTTGCTTTCAAGTGTCCTCTTTATCTCTGAGGAGATCGTCCAGCACTCACTGCTATAAAGATTTCACATAAAAATTTAGTACTCTTTTCTTTGTTTCTAGCGAAATTTTCCTATTTCCCAGTACTCTACTTAGCTTTTGGAACGCTTCCTTGGCTATTCCAATACGCCTTCGGATCTTAGTGTCACTCTCTTCGTACACTATTAAAACACTTCCCAGATATTTAAATTTCTGCACTTGTTTGATTTTGGTACCTCCGATTTTCAATTCGCACTTTGGGCTATCCCTTTTGCTAACAACCACACATTCTGTCTTCTTGCAGTTGATGTTTAATCCTTTCTTCTCATTTTCCTTCACTACATTCTGTAAGAGTTTTTGCAGCTTTCCTTTGGGGTTTTCTATCAAAACTGTGTCATCAGCATACCTTATGTTGTTAAGATTGTCGCCTCTTATAATGAATTCTGTTAGGACTTTTTGTTTTATCAGAATCACCTCGCAGTATACGTTGAATAAGTCCGGCGAGAAGACACATCCTTGTCTTACACCCCTTTCTATATTTATGTATCTACTG